TTGGGTGACAGAGGAGTAGGCGCCCAGCGAGCCAGAAGCCCCAACTGAGGGAACCAGAGTGACGACACTCAGACCATCTTCACACAAACCCCCGCTGCCTAGAGGGGACACTGAGGCTCAAAGCGGGGAAGGGACTAGCCAGTGGCTACAGCAAGAAAAGAGCAGAGCCAGGATTTGAATCCAGGTCCCTGTGCTGTGCAGCTGCCTCCACCTGAAGCCTTGGGCTGTCCCCAAGAGCACAGCAGAAGGTGGGGAGGAAGGGGTGGGGACTGGCCTTGATCAGGCACCAAAGGGCCACAATTCGTCCTCAATATAATCTTGAGAAGTAAGATCATCTTGCCCATGTCATAGAAGAGGAAACGGAGGTTCAGAGGGAATCATAAGACTGCCAAGTGTCCTGCAGGGAGGAAGCAGAGAAGTGGAATCCATTGCCATCGTGCCTCGGCAGGCTCCCCAGGAAGCCTCAGGATGCACACAAGGGGAGATGCAGAATCAGGCAGGGGAGGCGGTGGGCCTCACTGCCGGCACAGGACGACTTGGGCGAGCTACCCATCCTAGTGCCCAAGCCACCACCAGTGATGGGATCAGGCTGCCCCTGGGAAAGGAGTGGCGCCCTGGAGAGGCATCTCCCCCTTGGCGGAGAGCATTGTGCAGCAGGAACGTGGCTGAGAACAGTGGTCTCAGCAGCCAGGAGCTGGAGAGCATTAGTGCAAGGGGACCTGGGTGGCCACAAGGCATCCCCTGCAAGTTCACCTCGCTCCACCTAGGGAGCCCTCAGCAACGTGGACTCAGATTCTTTGTGGAACTACTAGGCCAGGGGGTGCTGGGGGAGAAAGTCCCTCAGGGTTAATGAGGCAGGAAAGAGCAGGTAAGTGGTCCCACCTGGGGAAAGGGAAACACCACCCAGAATCTGTAGGTCCCGGTGCGGTGCAGAGACGGCTGAGGTAGAGTGTCTCAAGTCTGAGCCCAGCCTGGGCAACCTAGTGAGACCCTGTCTCAAAAGAGAAAATAAAGCTTGGGATGTAGCTCGGTAGTAGAGTACCTACTCCTGGATTCGATTCCCAGTACCAAAACAACAAGAGGAAAAAAAAAAAAAAAACCTATAGGGCAGAACAGGAGAAAATATTTGCAAATCATATATATGAAAAAGATTTGATATCCAGAATATATAAAGAACTCCTCAAACTCAACAACAAAAATGGCCAACAACCCAATTATAAAACAGGCAGAAGACTTCAATAGACATTTCACCAAATAAATCATACAAATAGCCAATAAGCACATGAAAAGATGATTCACACCATCAGTCATCAGGGAAATGCAAATCAAAACTACACTGAGCTGGGCATGGAGGCACACACTTATAATCCCAGTGGCTCAGGAGGCTGAGGCGGGAGGATCTCAAGTCCAAAGCCAGCCTCAGCAATTTAGCAAGGCCCTAAGCAACTCAGCAAGAATATAAAAATAGCTGGGGATAGATAGGGTTCAGTGGTTAAGCACCTCTGGTACCAAAAAAAAGAGAGAGAGAGAGAAAGAAAGAAATTACCAGTGGCTGGGAGAAGGGGGAAGATTACAATTGCTGCTGAATGCACACAGGGTTCCTGTTTGGGATGATGAAAAGGTTTTAGAGATAGACAGTGGTCGTGTTTGCATGACATGAACAAAATTGTACTTTTAAAATGGTTAAAACGGCAAATTTTATGTTTTTTATATTTAAAAATAAAACCTATGGGAAAAGGGGACTCCGTGGAGACGGAGAGCACACCGGAGGCTGGGATGGGGGCCTTGGGGACGATTGCTTAGTGGGTACAGAATGGTACAGAACTTTCTGTGGGGTTATGAAAAAGTTTTAGAACTAGACGGAGTGGTCATTACACAGTACTGTGAATGTACTAAATGTCACTGGACTGCACACTGTAAAATGGCTAATTTCATGTTATATGATTTTCTCCTCGATTAAATAAAAAGGGGGAAAACTATGGAGAAATAAAATCTATGAGCTGCAGCCAAATAGGCATTTAGGGGGAAATTTTTAGCCTTTCTATGACATATTTATTGAATATAAGGATGTCAGAGAGTGAATGAGCTAGGTTTCCAACCCAAAAAGGTGGGAAAAGAGCCAGACGCAATGGTCCACGCCTACAATCCTAGCTACACAGGAGGCTGAGGTTGGAGGATAGTAAATTTGAGGCTAGCCTCAGCAACTTAGGAAGACCCTTTTATTTATTTATTT